ACTGTAGAAGCACGCAGTCGTGTGAGAGTATGTATCTCCCTCAAACCAGGGAAGACACACACACACACACACACACACACACACAGCATGGCCTCCTTCACGCTGTTCCACAGCACTGTAGAAGCACGCAGTCATGTGTTGAATATCTGGTGATTGGTTCTTCTTAACAGGAAAAGTCTTTAAAATTTGAATCTTCCTTTAAATGATGTCTGTCCATTTTCAAGTGTGCCAAATCGATTTCATTGAGCTCTTTTGGACTAGAACAAATATTGGGTGGAGTCCACAAGGCGGCCTGTTTCTATAAATAAAGTTTTACTGGAAAACAACCAAGCTCATTTACATGTTGTCTTTGCAGCACCTAAAACACTGGTTCTCTGACTCTTTATAGAAAGGGTTTGTTTGTTAGGGCCTGGATTTGAACGCTGAAGAAATTCTTTAATGTTTCCCTGCCTTCCAAAATCCTGACCATCAAACGGGCCGTGGTGCTGAGCTTCCTTGACGCCGATACCAGGAACGAACGGTTGCTTGTTACTGTGCAGGGGAGTTTGGCTTTTCAGGTTTGCCTTTAACTTATGGCGGGCCGTCACGTTTGGTTATCTGTGCCTGCCGCCCACTCCGGCCCCATGTGGTCCAGTTCTCTGACTTGCCTGCACTCTGGGAGGGAAGGGGACCAGGCTTTCAGAATCACTTTAAAGAGTGGCCTAGTGGTTACACGTTGGGCTGCAGTTCACAAGGTAGGCAGTTCGAAACCACCAGCCACTTCTTGGGAGAAAGATGATGGGGCCTCACCGGAGACCATTCCTACCCTGCCCTGTGGGGTTGCCATGCAGTAACTTTTGTTTGTTTGTTTGAAGCGTGAAAGGCTCCTGAGAGGGCATCCGGGAGCCTGTTTTTGTGCAAGGAGGTGAGGGAGGTGATTTGACTGTTGGGAAGCCTCTGGGGTGGGTCCTCGGCTGTTCCACTTGGCTGGGGACGGCCGGTACGTAAGCTTGTCACCGGCGGGGGCATCAACCTGGCTTTGTATTCGTGCCTGGGGTTTCCACAGTGCCCTCCTTCGGCAGTCAGTCCCAGGCCGTGTGCTCCGGTCCACGCTCCGTTCCCCGTGGACACTCACCTTTACACTTTCAGCGAACACCCTGCGGCCCTGGCTTCATGCCAGAATGGTTCTTTTCCCAGTGGCTGGAAACTGATTAGCTAGATGGGAGCACAAAGGTGCCTTTGTGCCTGGGCACACTGCTCTTGAGAATTAGGCAGAGAGCATTCAAAGGGAGTCTGGCGGGGCTGCCAAATTATGCAGATTTGGGGTTGTTTGGGTCGGGTTTCCCAGGAGTAGGTATGTGGGCAACTGGTTGTCTTCTTAGTTTGTGTGGTCTGGAATGTGCTTCCTCCCGGTTACATAGGCTTTCATTATAGATTATTTTTTTCAGTGAAAATACTCCGTTTTGAGAAAACACTCAATAGACAACTGTTTTTGATAGTATTTTGGCCAACTCTTGCCAAAGAAATATTGTTGTGTTCATGGATTTATTTTCAAAGCCCAATTACAAAGACCTCTTTGCCAGTAAGAACTTGATGTAAATACTTTATAAACGAGCACCCAAAGTATTGGGGCGGGGTAGCCATAGCAAAAACTAAGTCCTCAGTCTTGAATTCCTCTGAGGCTCCCGTGGAAGACTTTAAGTAGCACCAGGAACGGCAGTTTGACACCAACATGACGCTTCTCATTCAGTAGGCAAAGCCGTGAGGAGCCTGGTGGCACTGCAGTTAAAGTAGCCGGCAGCTAGCCAGAAGGCCAGCTTCTCTAGCCCATGAGCCCTACCTCGGGAGGGACAATGACCGGAGGGACATTGACCGGCCATCTGCTTGTGTAAACATCCACAGCCTGGGAAGCCCTCCGGGTTAGGGTCAGACTGAGTCAGACTCCGGACAGCAGTATCTGCTTTGGGATTGTGAGTGTTAGGCAGTCAGGCTGACTGTGATGCGGTACCCTCTGGGTGCTGACCTGGGGCACCCCGCGCATTCACAGGTGCTGGCGGGACTGGGACCTTTCTGTGAGAAGAGCCCTTTATCTCTGATTGTCACTGTCTTGTTTTTCCATCATTTGCTGGCATATCATTCACTTACCCTGCAATTCAGTCGTTCCATCCCTTCATGAAGATTGCAGCCATCCCCCCATCTGTGCTGTTCCTGTTTTTATTTCGTCCTTACGGCCCTGGCTTTTGACTTTACACCGTCATCCGTACCTGACAGCTTGTGCATTCAGACACATGGGTGACGGCTTTTAAAAACGTGATTTCGATGTTCCTCTTTGCTGCTGACGTCCTCGTGCCCCCACTCCCCGGCTTTCTGCTGAAGTTCTTGTCCATAGCCGGTCTCCCCCTGCCCAGTCATTCCCGGGCTGTTTGTCCTTGTTGACAGCAGAGAGAGTTGGGTTTGGGTGTAATGATTTTAGTCCCCAGATGTGTTATTTAACCCTCACAGGGTTTTGTTAGTTTGTTTTTAATTGTCAGCATTTAAATAGGAATGGTTTTACATAAAAACTGGCTCTCTGGGTCTCTTGAAAACTCAGGTGTAGTCTACTCCATGATTCCCCACAGCCCCTGTGAGATAGGGCCGTGGGGAGGGGAGGGGCTGCAACTGTGCACCTTCCCCAGGCTACCAGAGACCTTCCCACCCCTGGTGACCCTGTCCCCACCAAGCACAAGATGCCAGCGCACTGCCGCCCTTCACGGGCAGGAAATCCAAACCCTTACACCTCCGTCCCTCTAGAAATGGGGACAGACAGTCTGAAAGTTCCCCCAGAAAGCCCAGGGGCCGGGGATGCATGATTGTTGTTGCCAAGACCAAATTCCTGTATTTGATTTGCACCCACTTCACATGCTTGCTCGCTTGGTTTGGCTCTTTCTAAAAGGAGAGTTGTACTAGAGAGTTGTACTAGTTGTATTAGAGTTGTACTAGTTGTACTAGTTGTACTTTTCTCTTGGACTGTGTTTTGTTTGTTTGTTTGTTTTCTTAAATATGTGAAGAAGTTTGGTTTGATCTCTTTATCGCTAAAAACAACATACTTTGTTTTTCTTGTCTCCCATGGTGAAAACGTGTTGCCACAGACAGCCGTTGCTGCAGCTAATAAGGTGATGGGCAAGATACTCGTGCCCATTCTGAGTCCTGCTTTTCTGCATTTATGTTCAACGATCATCCTAATAACTGTTCCTTTTAGGGGGGGGAGGTGCCCGCGAGGTCCCCCTAGTGGCTCTTTTGGGTATGGCATGTCTGAATCTTCACACTCCCATCATGAACTGATTAGAATAAGCTAATATTTAACTAGTCTGTTGATGTACTGAAAGCATTTCAGATATCCTCTCTGTACAGATTGAGCTGCAGATAAATAAGCGGTGGCGGCTGTGCATGTTGTTTTCTTCTTAAAGCAGCATGTCTGTCATTGTTCTGTTTTCGTTTCAAACAGAGGAAGCCGACTACAGTGCTTTTGGCACAGACACACTCACCAAGAAGAAGAATGTATTGACCAACGTCCTGCGTCCTGACAACCACAGGAAAAAGCCGCACATTGTCATCAGTATGCCCCAGGACTTCAGACCTGTGTCTTCTATCATAGACGTGGACATCCTCCCAGAAACACACCGCAGGGTCCGGCTGTACAAGTACGGCACGGAGAAACCCCTCGGCTTCTACATCCGGGACGGCTCCAGCGTCCGGGTCACACCACACGGCTTAGAGAAGGTTCCGGGGATCTTCATCTCCAGGCTTGTCCCCGGAGGCCTGGCTCAGAGCACTGGGCTGCTGGCTGTGAACGACGAGGTTTTGGAAGTCAATGGCATCGAAGTGTCGGGAAAGAGTCTCGATCAAGTAACAGACATGATGATCGCCAACAGCCGCAACCTCATCATCACCGTGAGGCCCGCCAACCAGAGGAATAACGTGGTTCGCAACAGCCGGACTTCTGGCAGCTCTGGCCAGTCCACTGACAACAGCCTGCTCAGCTACTCCCAGCAGGCTGAGCCCAGCTTCGAGCCCGAGGATGAAGATAGCGAGGAGGACGACATCATTATCGAGGACAATGGCATGCCACAGCAGATCCCCAAAGCCACCCCGACGGCCCAGAGCCTGGAGTCACTGACACAAATCGAGCTCACTTTTGAGCATGGGCAGAATGGCTGTATTCCTGCTCGTGAAGTGAACTTGGCTCCTGTAGCGAGTGGCACCAACACCGAGTCTGAAACACGTGCTCCCGATCAAAAACTCTTAGAGGAAGACGGAACCATCATAACGCTATGAACCCGCACAGCTGGGGGGTTTCCGGGAAAGGATGCCACAGGGACTTGTCACTTTGGTGAGTTGAAGGCGTGCCTATACCTCCGCACCCACGATGGGAGCAGGCATGCAAACAAGACTGCGAGCTTAAAAGCTGTGTTAAGATGATCACTGGATCGTTGGATAATGTGAACCTGGGTGGATCGGGGTGAGTGGCAGGCGGAGCAGCAGGGCTGCCCGCTGCCGATGAATCATGTGCTTCTGCTGTTGTGTCTGGAAAACTGGATTGTGGAGCATGTTTTCAGAGCTCTGTGTGGGAGAAGAGCAGGTCATTTCCGTTTGAAGAGGTTGCACATGGAACCTGCTGTATAGAGCCTTGCTACTTTTCTCTTGGACTGTGTTTTGTTTGTTTGTTTTCTTAAATATGTGAGGAAGTTTGGTTTGATCTCTTTATCGCTACCTTCCTACGTTCCCAGCATCTTATTTGTGATTTTTTTAAAAAAAAAACATTCCTGTATTGCTAATTGTAACCAATTATTTCCTAAGTCCTTTTAAGAAATCAGATCAATTGGCTGTGTTTAGGAGTTGCGTCTCATGCTGATATAGTGAGGCCCTGGTTCTGGGTGACGAAAGCCTGCACCAGTTGTCCATCCTGGAGCGGACATATTTGCAGACTACAAGCAGGCCCGCTGGTCAGTTAGGTGGGAGACGCTCTCCTCTAGCCTGCTGTCCTCATGCCCACTTCCACTGGAAAACATTCCTGGGTTGTTTTGAGTGTGTGTGTGTGTGTGTGTCTCATCAGTGTGCTTTTGTACTCTCACAATGTATTTGACTAGTTTGAATTGTTTTCAATGAAAAAAGAAACCCACGTAAATTAAGATAATTTTTTTTTTTTTTACACACAGGGCAAACTTGTGTACTTTTTATGCACACAATATTGGATTTTCTTTCATGGGGTTTCTAGGAACACTGCCTATACTTTATAAGAAACTTTGACAGGTAGCATTGATCACTGTTAATTTCACGAGGCTATTTATTGCTTTCCAATGCACCCACTTAGACCAAGGAAGAGGGAGGCTGCTACCGCTCGTTCCTGGCCTGCTTTCTTCGGTGCGTATCATGGTACAATGTGCACAAACACTGCGGTATGCTTGTATATAGAAATTAAGGCTTGTGATGGTGTGCATAAGTTGCCCGGTGGCTTATGAACATTCTGCCCAGAGTTATTTATTAACTAATTTTATGGTAGGGCTAGTCTGAATATCTTTATTATAACAACTGTGTGCTATTAAACAATGAAGAACTCAACTGACTCCGTTCTCTGAAGGATATTTTCTCTAGGGTAAAATTACAAGAAGAAATGAAAATCTTTGATTAAATGAAAATCACTTGACTCAGAATACTTAAATGTATTTTGTCCACATTATTACCACTAAACATATTATCACTACACCATTAACTGACTGCACATCATGTAATGCCAAGTACTTGTTGTTGTTGAAGGCACTGAAATGCTTCCATTGATAAAAAAACCACTTACCACTCTCGTTTTTTGTTTGTAAGTGATCTTCCAGCTTTCGCATCTGTGAGTCCTAGAACTTTGACTCTGGGGTGACAGGACGATGTTAGTATTTAGGAAGTTCAGTTTCATTTCTAACCTTAAATGGTGCAGGGTTCAACATTTAAGTAAGAATGCTTTCACACACTACCTCTCTCTTTTTTTAAGATAAAGTTTTAACATCTAAAGTTTCCTCTCCAGGGGGTGGGAACTAACTTCAGGGCTTGGCTTTTTGTATGAATTTTAACTGTAAAATACAAAATGTATCTTGTACATGCACTCATGAAAGGAAATCAAAGCTGCTAGTGCTTCCTATTTTAATTATCCCGCTAAGAGTTTATGTCCGGGATGTTTTCAACTAGATCATTGTCATTTAAATTACTGGTGAAATCATTGATTCTAGACCTTATTGTAAAACCAGAAGGTCTCAGTTCTATAATAAGAGATCAATCCCTTGGCGGTGTGAATTGATTATTTCATGTGTACCTTATTAACCAATGTATCAGTGGATTCAGCCCCAAATTTTTTAGTACTAAATGTCAAGCCTGACTGTGAATTTTGTTGTTTCTTATGTAAATTTATGATAATGTTCTCATGAGCTGTCAACAAAATATATGTACTTTTGTGAACTATGAATTTTCTAATTAAATTTTACATGCTACAACATGATTTTACATGAATGATATACTTTGTTTAAACTATCAAATGTCAGTATTTTACTACAATTTTATTACAAAATGTACATTATCACTGAATGGCCTTTGATTTTAAATAATCAAATTAGCTTTAGTTGTATATTATTTTTACAAATAAAAATAGACTTGTATAAAGGCTACTTTCTTGTTTTAAAATATGAAATATGAAAAAATCACTAAGTGCTTACCAAGCACCCGTTACCTAAATGGATAGGGAGAAAATGGCTAAGTTAGAACAAGATTCTTCCATGACTTTTATTAAAAGAGAAATTGTAAATTTACTGCAACCGTAGATGAAAATATACAATGGATTCCCAAACGTTTGAAGAAAAAAATCAAGAGATTTTCCCCCCATTGTATATGGCAATAGATTAGAAGGTGACATGAAAATTAGTTTGTTCTGAAAGGGGAAGATTAGGCCTGCTAGTCACCTAAAGTTATCTTGAACATGGGCAAAGATGATTTAAAACAAGACAAATAATTTGTAAGGAGACAGTTCATTGTATTCTAGAATTCTAATTCATGGAGTTAACGTTTATTACCATCCTACATAGATAAGGAGCCATGGTAGTGTGGTGGGTTATGAATTGGCAGTTTGAACTCACTAGCCACTCCGGGTGAGATAGATGAAGCTTCTAGTCCCCTAAAAAATTTACAGCCTAGAAACCCACGGGCGATTCTGCTCTTTCCCATAGTCATTATGAGCCAGTGAACTTGGTGGGGTTTTGTTGGGAGAGGGTGGTGGTGGCTGAGGTAATGGATTGAATAAAGTTTGTACTGAAATATTTAAAGGACCCGAAATAAAAACCTTCATCCTGAGAGAGATCGAATCCCAAATTAGTCCCCCTTGTCATTGGCTGATGGAGCCCTGGTGGCAACAGTGGTGACGTGATGGGGTGCAATCTGCAAGGCGGGCAATCGGAAACCAGCCATTCCTCAGGAGAAAGACTGGGCTTTCTACTCCCAGTAAGGGGTGAGACATGGGAACGACCTTGTCTACAGGGCTGCCATCGGCTGGCATCGACTCCATGGCAGTGAATGAGTGCATTGGCTTAGCTGATCTCTGCACCCACTTCTTAGCAATTTGGAAAGACCTCTTGCACTTCCCTTCCCCCAATAAAAAGCATTTTAAACCCTGTGAGCATAAAGGTCAGCATCACGGACGTGGAGCTCTTCATATCGCTGCATGGGTATAGGTTGGGTTCTTGCTGTGCTTGGTACGTATCTCTGGGCTTCCATGACCTCCCAGAAATAGAAATATGGAAATAAAACCTCCCTTTAACCCTCAACATGGGATTCCAATGTTGTTGGCGCTTCATAGCCCTGCCACTGCCAAATTCCCAATTCTGGGTAAGAGCATATGGCCTTTAGTTTTAAGAAGAAGCCAGACCCGGTGTTAGGTACGTCTGCTTGAAGTACTCAGAAGTGATATTTAGTAGCAACTGGCGAAAGCCATTGCTTATTTGATTCTCCCATCTTTCAAATCCTAGAAGGTGTGATTCTGGGTGATAGCGTCTTTTTTTTTCTTTTCTTTTTTAACATTTTATTAGGGGCTCATACAACTGTTATCCCAATCCATACACACATCAATTGTGTAAAGCGCATTTGTACATCGTTTCTCAAAACATTTTCTCTCCATTTAAACCCCCGACATTAGGTCCTCATTTTTACCCTCTCTCCCCGGTAGCGTCTTAAGAGTAGTTATCGATGAGTTCAGCTGGACCCTTCCAAACACAGGCTCGGAAAGATGGTGCTTTTAAGAAAGGGCAGGTCTGGACTTGGCTGTTTGGCTATTGTTGCAGCCTAACACTTGGTGGGGGGGGGGGGGTGCCTGGTTACCTATAAGGCAGAACAAAAGGTAGCCATGCCTCCTAGCTATTCTAAGATCACTTATACGGCGCCCTAACTGCTATCAAAAAAAAAAAAAGGGTTCTGGAAACCAACATGAAGTCGGCATTGTCCTCGGCAGTGCACACGCCATGGAGTGCTTGTCTTGCTGAGGCGGCCTGGCTGGCTGTGCAAAGGCCCGGATGAAGGAAATGAATCCAGTTTAACACCTGGGACCCTCAACCCCCTCAGCAGTCGTCAGCCAGGTTCTTCCCTAAAATCATATTTTTAAGGCTAATGTATTTTATCAGCTTATAACACGCGATGGGTGTTTTATAAATTAATAATAAAGTTGTACTACTTGTCTTATATAATTAGCTGTCCGTAGACGTTTTCCCACGTAAACTGTTTAAAAAGCACTCTATGTGAGCATGGTGCTTATTCCAAAAGCAGCCATTCTCAGTGTAATAGGAAGTCAACCCTAACCTAAGGTGACCAGATTTTAACATTGGTAAAGCGGGACACCATTGGTAAAACTCAGATCCTGGCGAAATAGCCACATGGCAGCCGAAAACCATATACCCTAGCTTGTCGTGCATTCTTTCCAAAAATCGGGACTTTTAAAAAAAGCTATGGGACACAGGACAAATTGTTAAAAATCGGAACTGTCCCGCCAAGCGTGGGACGTCTGGTCACCTTACCCTAACCCCCTGACTGCCTAGTTCACTGTAATTCCAGAGGGTGAATAACATTTCTTTTTATTACAGGACTGGTAAGTATGATAATGTTTAAATAATTTGGGGTCACAAAAATCTAAATTCACTCTCCTTGGTAAGACAGCCTTTCTTGTCCAGTGAGGCTGGCATTTCAAACCCACTTTCCATTCCAACGGAGGAAGAGGGAGCTGTCTGCTCCCCAGAAGGATTTACAATTCTTGACCAGCAGGCTCACATCCATACTGTACTTGGATAGAGAGGAATTAAAGTGGCCTTGAATGAGGGTGATTATAATTGTTATACAAATAGAGGTACGTGGAAGAGTGAAAAGGATCGCTATAAACCAAATATCCAAACGCTGCCATCGAGTCATGCAACCTTACAGCAAGCCTGTAAGACAGGGTAGAACTGCCCCTGTGAGTTTCCGAGACTGTAACTTTAAAAAGATTTTTAATCATTTTATTGGAGCCTTGAACAACTTATCACAGTCCATACATACATCTATTGTATCAAGCATATTTGTACATTTGTTGCCATCATCATTCTCAAAACATTTGCGTTTTACTTGAGGCCTTGGTATCAGCTCCTCATTTTACCCCCTTCCTCCCTGCCCCCTCACTCATGAACCCTGGATAATTTATAAATTATTATCATTTTGTCACGTCTTACACCGTCCGATGTTTCCCTTCACCCACTTTTCTGTTGTCCGTCCAGGGAGGGGGTTATATGTAGATCCTTGTGATTGGTTCCCCCTTTCTACCCCACCTTCCCCTTCCCCTCCTGGTATTGTTACTCTCACTATTGGCCATGAGGGGTTTATCTGTCCTGGATTCCCTGTGTTTCCAGTTCTTATCTGTACCTAGCAAGATTTATAAAGTAGAATTAGGATCATAGTCTGGCCGGATCATGATGGTGGGGAGGCAGCATTTAGGAACTAGAGGAAAGAAGTATGTTTCATCGTTGCTACCCTGCACTCTGACTGGCTTGTCTCCTCCCTGCCACCTTTTCGTAAGAGTTACCTACAGATGAGCTTTGGGTCTCTACTCCGCACTCCCCGTCATTCACATTGATAGGATTTTTTGTTCTTTGATGCCCGATACCTGATATCATCGACACCTCGTGATCACACAGGCTGGTGTGCTTCTTCCATGTGGGTTTTGTTACTTCTCAGTTAGATGACCGCTTGTTTATCTTCAAGCCGTTAAGACCCCAGACACTATATCTTTTTCGTTTTTCAGTTTTTTAAAAAAAATTGTGATCTCTACATGTGATAAAGTGGGGGTTTCATTGTAGACCTTTAAAGGGAAAACAAAAGTCCAAAGTAAAAATGTATAAATACAATATATATTTTCTTACAAAATGGAGACTTAGAAATATAAACATTGCACTTGTCTCTATTTTACAGTTTTCACATGCACTTAAGCGAAACAAAACAAAAGATGCCCACAACCTGCGTAATGGGAGTTTAAAAATTCTGACAGATTGCCGAGCACCATCAGGTTTCTTCACACTTACTTAGGCACCTGCTTTGTCTTCAGCTGACCTGTCGGGAAGGTGAGCATCATGGAATGCCAGCTTAATAGAACAAAGTGTTCTCGCATTGAGGGAGTACTTGAGTGGAGGCCCAATGTCCATCTGCTACCTTAATACTAAACCTATAAATATATGCACATAGATCTATTTTCCCATCATATATAAATATACTTAGATATATACATGCCTGTATTTAGACCTCTATAAATGCCCTTTACCTCCTAGTTCTTTCTTCTATTTACTTTTGCTTTCCTCTTGTCCCACTATCATGCTCAGCCTTCATTTGGGTTTCAGTAATTCCTCTCGGTTACATTGCCCTTGATCAACCCCCACCAGGCCTCCTACATCCTCCTTGCCATCAATTTTAGATAACTTGTTCTCTTGTCCCTGGGTTTGTTAACACCCACTTCCTTTCCTCCACCTCCTCTTCTCCCATGTCCCATTGTTTTCTCCTCCAAATTGTTTATTCCACCTATCTTATCTAGATAGACCTGCAGAGATAATAATATGCACAAAAGAAAACAACAACAAGAAACCAATGAAAAAAGAAAAGCTTGTAAATAGTTCAAGGTCTATTTGTTGACCTTTAGGCTTGTTTTCCAGTCTGATGGGGTGCCACACCCTGGCCCCAAAGTCTATTTTTGGTATTCCCTGGGATTTCCTTGCTCTGCTCCCCTTGCTGTTCTGTTGCACGTCCTCAGTGTTTTGCCTCAGTGTGGTGGGGTCAGATCAGGCACAGGACTGTAACTTTTTCTGGGAGTAAAAAGCTCCGTCTTTCTCCTGAGGAGCGGCTTGTGGTTTTGATCTGCTGACCTTTCAGATCCAGCCCAACAGTAATCACTGTGCCACCAGAGCTCCCAGGATTGCTATAAGCCCTGCCAAACAGCAGACAGACTGG